AAAGCAGCGCACATTTCGGTGCTTTATTTTGGTGCCTTTTTTTCCCTGAGATGTCAGAATTCTAGCCAATAATTTTACCTTTGCAAGGATAGTAGGCGGGCCCAGGTACATATGTTATTTTAGAGCAGAGTTACAGATTAAAAATGCCCAAGGCAAAGCGGTCAAAAGTCTGGCTATACTTCACAGCAAAAGATGCAAACTCAGCAGCCTGCAACAAGTGCTTTAAGGTGATACTGTGATACTGTGCAAAGGAGGTAACACCTCAAATCTGATGACAAACCTTTAAAAAAAAAAAAAAGCTGAGGAATGAGTCTTTAGTTAGGAGTAAAGGATGAAGCTGCTAGGTGGGTTTTTGACTGGGGGATTTATAGAAATTAACATCTAGTTGAGCTGGACTATGGTCTGAGATAGAGTTGTATGGGCAATCTAAAACCTTGGGAAGAATTCTATTATCTACAACAACAAAAAATCTATCCGTGAGTATGACCAGTGTACTGGTGAGAAGAATGAGAATTGTTTAGATGTAGGATTTTTATTCCTCCAGGGGTCAAAAAAGTGTAAGATTGCAAAAAGAATTGCAGAACTTTTGCTGTCAGCTTTTGCATTTGATCTGTCAAGTTGAGGATTAAGCACACAGTTAAAGTCACCACCCAATATCAAATGGGACTCTGTTAAATCTGGGAGGTTCTTTAAAAAAGTACTATAAAATTTAGGTCATCCCAGTTTGGTCCTTATACATTTGAAAGAGTTACTTGTTTCCTATACAAACTGCCCTGTATAATAATACATCTCCCTCTGGTATCCGCTACAGTTGATAGTGGAATAAATGGAATGCCCTTCCTAATTAGAATAGCAACACCACGTGATCTATCCTCAAATTTTTATGCTAAATACTAAAGTTTAATTTGTTCACTTGATCGGAGGTGTGTTTCCTGCAGATATACAACAATGATTTTAAATGAATAAATACCCTTGTGCATTTAACCGGATTATTTATACCTTTAACATCCCAACTTAACCAAAAACAATGGTCTCTGGGCAAATACTCTATTTCTGAGAGACAAATCAAACCCAAGGAATGAAATTAACTCTTATGTGGGAGGCCTTAAAAGCCTATCTTCGAGGCCAGATAATTTCATATGCAACCTTTTAAAAAAAAAGAAATACTTAAAACAAATGAACAACCTAGCCAACAGTCTAAGCAGCTTGGAAAGAAAAGCGTCTGGACTTCTTTAAGTTGCTTGAAGATGTTTCACCTCTCATCCGAGAAGCTTCTTCAATTCTAAGATAAAATGGCGGAGAGTCCCAGATTTAAATGCAGTGGGAATAACCCTCCAAAGAGGGACAAAAGGACCCCTGATGATCCTCTACCTAATCACATGAGCCAAGATGTGAAACAGGGGGGTGTCACAATCAGCCAGGGTTTTGGGTGAAACCTGTCCCCACCCTATCATGCAAGCAACATAACGAAGTCCAGACGCTTTTCTTTCCAAGCTCCTTCTTATACTACGATGACTGAGAACCTTCACAGATAACCTAGCTAACAGTATAAAAGAGATTGATTGCTTATATGTAGAAAATCCAACACCAGACCTCTATAAGAGAAAATTATTACTAAACAAAATCCTGTCCATTCAGCAAAAGAGAGCATTTATTTTTCAAATCAAGGCAAAAGTTCTATGAGCATGGGGAAAGAGCCAGAAAAATCTTGACACATCAAATTAAGCAATCCATATCAGTTAACACAATTTCTGAAATCTGTAAAACCTCTGGAGAAAAGACGTCCGATCTGAAAACTATTAATGACCAGTTTAAAATGTTCTATTCCAATCTTAACGCTTCAGATCCGGTTGATATGCATGGGCAGGGGAACAATATGAGAACAATATGAAGAGTTGGACAGCACCAGGCCCTGGCACAAATGAACCAGCTGCTAGTTGACGAGAGACACCCGCAAAACGCAAAGCACCAGCTACTGGCAGACCAGTATCTCCCCCAGGTGCAGGCTGTGTAAAGATGTCTCTGAGACAATCCAGCATCTAACAGCAGGGTGCAAGATGCTAGCAGGCAGGGCATACATGCAACGCCATAACCAGGTGGCCGGCATAGTGTACAGGAACATCTGTGCCGAGTATAACCTGGAAGTCCCGGGGTCAAAATGGGAGATGCCCCCAAGGGTGGTGGAGAATGACCGAGCTAAGATCCTGTGGGACTTCCAGATACAGACAGACAAAATGGTGGTGGCTAACTAAGCGGACATAGTGGTGGTAGACAAACAGAAGAAGACGGCCGTAGTGATCGATGTAGCGGTTCGGAATGACAGCAACATCAGGAAGAAGGAACACGAGAAGCTGGAGAAATACGAAGGGCTCAGAGAAAAGCTCGAGAAGATGTGGAGGGTGAAGGTGGTCCCAGTGGTAATCAGAGCACTAGGTGCAATGACTCCCAAGCTAGGCGAGTGGCTCCAGCAGATCCCGGGAACAACATCGGAGATCTCTGTCCAGAAGAGCGCAGTCCTAGGAACAGCTAAGATACTGCGCAGGACCCTCAAGCTCCCAGGCCTCTGGTAGAGGACCCGAGCTTGAAGGATTGACTGCCCTTGACCGGCGGGTGGGGAATTTTATACATACAGTGGGGCAAAAAAGTATTTAGTCAGCCACCGATTGTGCAAGTTCCCCCACTTAAAATGATGACAGAGGTCAGTAATTTGCACCAGAGGTACACTTCAACTGTGAGAGACAGAATGTGAAAAAAAAAAATCCATGAATTCACATGGTAGGATTTGTAAAGAATTTATTCGTAAATTAGGGTGGAAAATAAGTATTTGGTCACCTCAAACATGGAAAATCTCTGGCTCTCACAGACCTGTAACGTCTTCTGTAAGACGCTTTTCTGTCCCCCACTCGTTACCTGTATGAATGGCACCTGTTTGAACTCATCATCTGTATAAAAGACACCTGTCCACAGCCTCAAACAGTCAGACTCCAAACTCCGCCATGGCCAAGACCAAAGAGCTTTCAAAGGACACCAGGAAAAGTATTGTAGACCTGCACCAGACTGGGAAGAGTGACTCTACAATAGGCAAGCAGCTTGGCGTGAAAAAATCAACTGTGCGAGCAATCATCAGAAAATGGAAGACATACAAGACCACTGATAATCTCCCACGATCTGGGGCTCCACGCAAGATCTCATCCCGTGGGGTCAAAATGATCATGAGAACGGTGAGCAAAGATCCCAGAACCACACGGGGGGACCTGGTGAATGACCTGCAGAGAGCTGGGACCAAAGTAACAAAGGTCACCATCAGTAACACACTACAACGGCAGGGAATCAAATCCCGCAGTGCCAGAGGTGTTCCGCTGCTGAAGCCAGTGCATGTCCAGGCCCGTCTGAAGTTTGCCAGAGAGCACATGGATGATACAGCAGAGGATTGGGAGAATGTCATGTGGTCAGATGAAACCAAAGTAGAACTTTTTGGTATAAACTCAACTCGTCGTGTTTGGAGGACGAAGAATACTGAGTTGCATCCCAAGAGCACCATACCTACTGTGAAGCATGGGGGTGGAAACATCATGCTATGGGGCTGTTTTTCTGCCAAGGGGACAGGACGACTGATCCGTGTTAAGGACAGAATGAATGGGGCCATGTATCGTGAGATTTTGAGCCAAAACCTCCTTCCATCAGTGAGAACTTTGAAGATGAAACCAGGCTGGGTCTTCCAACATGACAATGATCCAAAACACACCGCCCGGGCAACAAAGGAGTGGCTCCGTAAGAAGCATTTGAAAGTCCTGGAGTGGCCTAGCCAGTCTCCAGACCTCAACCCCATAGAAAATCTGTGGCGGGAGTTGAAAGTCCGTGTTGCTCGGCGACAGCCCCAAAACATCACTGCTCTCGAGAAGATCTGCATGGAGGAATGGGCCAAAATACCAGCTACTGTGTGTGCAAACCTGGTAAAGACCTATAGTAAACGTTTGACCTCTGTTATTGCCAACAAAGGTTATGTTACAAAGTATTGAGTTGTATTTTTGTTATTGACCAAATACTTATTTTCCACCCTGATTTACGAATAAATTCTTTACAAATCCTACCATGTGAATTCATGGATTTTTTTTTCACATTCTGTCTCTCACAGTTGAAGTGTACCTCTGGTGCAAATTACTGACCTCTGTCATCATTTTAGGTGGGGGAACTTGCACAATCGGTGGCTGACTAAATACTTTTTTGCCCCACTGTATATATATATATATATATATATACACACAGACACACACAGTGGAACCCCGACTTACGCAAGTTTCACGCAAGTTACAAAGGCACTGAATGGCAATATTTCTGCTTGTGTTCCGGCAAAATGCCCGAGTAACGAAATCCGCTGGCTCTGATTGGCTGAGCCTAGAATGCCCATAATGCCTTCCGAATCATGTGACAATCCCTTGGTTTCCGTACTTGCGTTTTGCTGCGCCTTCGTAACTTGAATTTTTTGTTAAATGGGGTATTCGTAAGTCGGGGTTCCACTGTACACTAGTCCCTTAATAGTTTCAACATGAAATATTGAAAAAACAAATATATGGTCCACTGATCGTGTGACAGATGCAGACATTTCTCTGTGTGCACGTGGTGAAATCTGCTGTTAAATCAGAACATGAAAAGGTTATAGGTGACATTAAAACCCATGAAAACAAAGCTACATTCACTCAGAGGTCAGGGGTTATGTACAGTACCCACACTGACACAAAGGATAAAAAAAGAGCAGCAAAGGCAAGGGGGGGGGGTCATTTCCAGCTAAATAGAACAATAGAAGAATATAAAGACAATGAAGGTCAGTTTGAATCACTCATATTTTGTTCAATTCAGTGTACTGACAGATCCAGGATCAGCCCAAATCATCAGCAGTTTGATCCACGTATGGGCTGAAGTGTATTTGTATATGAGAGCCATGTGTCCATGTGTGCATGCTGAAAGAGACTGTGCTGGTCTGACCCCCCTCCTCCTTTCAGGGTGGAGCCTGCTGGACTCCGATGGTTGAGACCAGGTCTGCGGAAGTGTAAGTGTGTTTTTAATGTGATTCATGAAAACAAAGCAGCACACATTCAACCATCTTCAAACTGTCACATCACTCATTCACATCTCTGATGTCAGGAGTCATCATCAAAGTGTCAATCAATGAACAGATGATGGATCAATAACTGCAGCTGGATTGTGTTTGTTCTCTCCATCAGATTCCTGCCAACTCACAATCGACAAAAACACAGTTCACACAAACCTCCAACTGTCTGACAACAACAGGAAGGTGACACATGTGAAGGAGGTTCAGTCATATCCTGATCATCCAGACAGATTTGATTATTTCTGCCAGCTGCTGTGTAGAAATGGTCTGACTGGTCGCTGTTACTGGGAGGTCGAGTGGAGAGGAAGGGTTGATATAGCAGTGAGTTACAGAAGAATTAGAAGGAAACGAGAGTGTCAATTATCAAAATCTGGTATGTTTGCTACGCTTGCCAGTTTCTATTCCCCATACTGTATGTTTGGACACAATGATCTGTCCTGGAGTCTGTGCTGCTCTGATGATGGTCCTCATTCCGTCTGGCACAATAAGTGGGATACATCCATCTCCTCCTCCTCCTCCTCCTCCTCCTCCTCTGTCTCTAACAGAGTAGCAGTGTATGTGGACTGTCCTGCTGGCACTCTGTCCTTCTACAGAGTCTCCTCTGACACTCTGATCCACCTCCACACCTTCAACACCACATTCACTGAAACTCTTTATCCTGGGTTTTGGTTCAGGTCCCCTTGTTCCTCAGTGTCCCTGTGCTGAGTTGAGTGTAAAGAGTGTCCTCCTGTTAGAGAAACATTGTTATCATTTTACAAAAAATAAAACGGCTAAACATGAGAGGCTTTTGGACAAAGTTTGTGCTCTCCATTCTTTAAGCACCGGCACAGTTTCAAAAGTACTGGTTTTGCACTGGTATCGGATAAAATCTAAACGATACCCGTCCCTACTCTCACCTAGTGATGGTGAGGTGAAGCCTCGTGATGAACTGAAGTTTTCCATCCAACTGGGGCCCGTTCTTCGTACCTCGCTAAGTAAGTTAGCTGGATTAGATTGTTGACGATTTCGCGTGATCTTGGATCGTTCGGTTCTCTGAAGCTCATCCGGGACTTGCTGTCATAGCAACAGATCCGTAAGCGTAAACCTGCTTGGGAGCAGGTTTACTTTATGTAAACAGGATTAGATCGCGGGAACTCAGGTATGTCCACTTCATGTATACGAAAGCAACAGCGATATTTTACCACTGTTTTACCATAAATAAATATTATCAATGTAACTAAAGATAATGCATATTTGATTCTTTCATTGATGTCACACAGATACATACAGGTCATTTCCTAAAAAAGGGAAATGTACTATTAACATTCTATTACATGTATGTGATTATTATTATTATTTGATTATTTCAGATGTAATTCATATTTTAGAGGAATGTATTTAGGAGATCAGGAGATTATTGATCAGAATTCAGTGTATACAAGCAGAAAAATGTTATTTTATAAATTACCGTGTTTTATTTTCCACAATAAAACACATTACCGTTTTGATGTTTTCTTTGTGAAATTGATTCATTTTACTCAGAAAATAAGTTAAATTCATTTCATTTTCTCTTATTATTCAGAGACTTATTTTATATCAATTATTTCTTTTGGTAAAGTTGGGCAATTTCAACCTTCAGTTTGAGATTTTGACCCTAAATCCAACACATATTTACAGTTTAAATCTATTAATATCTACTTTTGTTTTCTATTTGAATTTAATTAACATTTTCTCTACATTTTACATAAATCTTTTGAAATTAAAATCTACTTAATTATTTCAAGTGTCACTTTGTTGCCATAACTTTTTTAAGTAACCTCTAGTCACAGTTTTTACAGAGTAGTAATAGTAAATTACTTCGTGTAATCAAGATGAGAGACCACGGCTATAAAAGCGAAGGTGGATTTGGGAAGCCTGTCGCAGCCATGTCCTGTCCGTATACGCGAGCCACCCATTGAGGAAGGTGCAAGATTGATAAGGAGAGTCCTCAGAATTCAGCGTATATTGCGGGATAGACAGGATCCTTTAGCTCAGCGCGACAGTGTGCTCATAGAGAGATATCGATTTTCCCGTGAGGGTATTATTCACTTAACCAACTTGTTGACGAGGGGGTGCAGGACCACCACCTGTCTTTTGTTGCTCTGCCCTTTTCTTGGTTGCGGTTATAAACAAACAAACAGATTATTTCAGGGTCTCTTTCCAAGAGACGAAAAGCAATATAAGTGATAAATATTACCATTCTGTGGAATATTCTTATATTTCACTTTTACTTGTTCCCATGTTCTAGTGGGTCCTGTCGCTGCTCTAATGTGAAAGAGGATATAATATAATATAATATAATATAATATAATATAATTTAGTATAATATAATAAATTTACCCTACCGCCTACTGGTGTTGGCCAGAGGGGCCGATGGCGCGATATGGCAGCCTGGCTTCTGTCAGTCTGTCCCAGGGCAGCTGTGGTTACAACCGTAGCTGCCTCCACCAGTGTGTGAATGTGAGAGTGAATGAATAGTGGCATTGTAAAGCGCTTTAGGTGCCTTGAAAAGCGCTATATAAATCCAATCCATTATTATTATTATTATTATTATTATTATTAAATTACGACCAATCAAAGGGTTGCCGATCAATGTTTCTACTATCGATGCGTAGCCCCTGTTGAGCCACCCAGTGATCTCACATTACTTCATCCAGCTATACTAATCGTCAACAACAGGTGTGTTCGGAGAACCGGAATAGTGAGCTCAAAGTTGGCGCGATGATTTGATCTTGGATGTAGTAAGCGAGGTACGAAGAACGGACCCCTGGTTGACTCGTGGTTCGAAGCATTGTGATAATTCATTTGCTCTACTGCGCCATCAAGTGGATTCAAGTGAAATAGGCTCTGTGATTATAACGATATGATGTGTCAAGCTCTAAACTGAATAAATAAATTGTTTTCGTGGTTATTTATTCTGAATATTGTCTCAGAGAAAGTCAAAACTATCAGGACAGAGTTTTGGTATGATTGTGTAACTGTTAGGGCTCTGATTTCTAGAATTGATTCAAATCGGGGAAATGCCTCAGACAGTCAGAAATATTATAATTCACATCATGCATCAGTACATTTCCGTAATTTTGAATCTATAAAAATAAAGCTGACACTTTATCAAAGGTGTAAGCATGACAGCAGATGTCTTTGAGTCAAAGTAGCTGAGGATAAAACACAGAAAAACATGAAGGTGATTTTCCTGGCCTGGGATTTTATAAGAATATTCTGCAGTAGATCAAAAACGAAAGAAAACCATTAATCAACATAAACCATCAAGTTACAGTCAAAACGCATCAAAATGATTCAAGCTGCGTTCAAGCTGCGCTCAAGCTGCGCTCAAGCTGCGGTTAACAGAAGGTTTTTAACTCATGCTCACCCTACCTTGATGTTCATCAACATCAGGTTGGAGAACAGGTGAGTGTAGTGATGATCCGCTTGAAGCTGAAGCTCCGGTGCGTGTGTCACAAAAATCAACACACTGCTTCAGAAGCTCTGTGTCGAAGCTTGATTCGTTTGGCCAGAGTCACATGATCAGTGACGTCCGAAGCTTCATTTAGAGCGTAACTGCTTCGGTGTCTGATTCAATGGTTTATAAGGAAGCGAATCATTCGCGGGATTTGTGGAGTGTTTTGATGGTGACAGATAGTGAACCACTGATCATTCCACTGAGAGATTTGGAGCCAGCGAGGAATAGAGGAGGTTCTGTTGTTTGGGAGAATTATGAGTTGATTTTTGTCAATCGGGTGGGTTTTCCAGCTTTGTGTTCTGGCCGTTTGCTTTTGTTTTGTGCGTGTTTATTATATCTGAAAACGGGAAAAAGGTAAAATGTCAAAAATCTGCTTCCATAATATAAATATCATTAAATAACTTTAGAAAAACTTCCACTTGATTCTTTACATGTAATGTTGTAAAAATATATATTTTATTGTTTAATTAATCTGAAAATGTTAGTCTGCCAAATGTGCAGCAATTGAATTTCTTTATTCTCTTTAGCTGATAGTTTGTGGGGCCCAGGTTGACTGTATAACTGCATCTCTACCAGTTTCTCTGCACTCCAGCCTCTTCTGGGCCATGTGAGGGATGTTCCTTAAGGCAGGAGAAATTATCTCCACGAAAAGGAACAGGTTCGGCCATCGCACAGTGGAACAAATTCTCTTCTTAAATAAAAATGAAAAAGGGTTACCGTCAATGCATCATGTTTTTCATTTGCAAGTTCATAAGCATTTTCCTTTTCCATTTCACAATCAATTCTACCCCCAGGTCAAAAATATGTCTGGGAAAACTTCCTTAATATAATATTATTTATAAATGCGATTAATTGCATAAGTGCATGGAGGCAAGACCTCACAGCAGAAGCCTACTCCATAATGTGTTTTACATTATTATATGTATATATATGTAAAGTGGTATTTTTCAATTATTGTATTTACCAACATCAAGAAGTCACAAGCAAAGAAAGACCACACCATGGTGCATGTTTAAACAAGGAGAGTTTACTGGTTAAAACTATGTATTAAACAAATAAAACACATTTTCTTAACCACCAAAAAATACACGTTCAAAGCAACACAACGGAGGCCCAATATCAGACAGGACTCCACTCTGTAGAGTGGGCAATCATAATGAAGCGGTTGGTTTTATTTTGTGGATTCAAGCTGCTCTTCATATTTTTGGCCACCAGATGTCACCAGAGAGGACCGTGTTGAAAAGCTTCGAGTAATGAACCGTTTTTCAATACAAGCTTCAGAAAGCTTCATTTGGCCACCACTAGGTGAGTGCAACCACATTTATCACCTAACACACCCATGACTCACACCCCACACCCGTGCACCAATACAGTGAGTCCATTTAAACCCACCCACTTAATCAAAAAAGGAACAACTCATATGGGTCCTACAATCTGATTACGTTTCTGTGAGTATTATTATTTTTGAGTCTGCTAAATGACTTTAATAAAATCTCCTGCAGTTAAATTTTTTCCTTTTGAACGCTTTGTGAAACATGAATGAATGTGAGTATTAATGAGTTTTAGTGTAAATGGCTCTTACAGGTGACACCATCCTTTCAAAGTAAGAGTCAATCGGGGCGACTGGCCTCTAAAACCGTCCCAGGTAGCAAGTTGGTAAGTCCATTTAAAGCTTTGAATGTCAACCATTAAAAGGAAATTCTTTGATCAGCACCAGATTCCTGTTGATTTTCGGAATAAACTGATAAATCCTTTAATACAACGGCTGATAATTACCGGTATGATTATTTCAGTCAAAGCTGAAACTGCTCAGAGAAACGGGAAAGAAGAAGTGACACCAAGTTACTTTAATTCTGTCAGCACAAAGTTAAAAAGTCACAAACTGTCAGTGTGACGTTACTTTAGTTACAGAGTGCTTTTATTGTGAAAATCGGTCTGCACGTAGGTGAAGGCCTTCCTTTCCAGGAAGCAGCTAAACTGTCAGGAAGTAAGTGGAGCTTGTTGTTGGTGTGTGTGAAGAAACCGTAAGTTTGCTTTGTTTCCTCCTTTAACAGTTTGTTTTTAGGAACTTTACTGTTTGTTCAGCTCATGTTTGATTTCTTCTCACAACAAGCTGTGTGTTTTTATTTCCGGTCCCTCCATTCAAGAGAGAGACCGCTCGATAGTTCAGATAGTGATGGCTCGCTTGAAGCTGACGCTCCTGTGTCCCAATCCAGGGTCAACGCGCTTGAAGTACGCGCACTATGCGTACTACGTACGGTGCGTACTATCAGTACGAGAAGTGCGGAAGTGAGAGGCTCGTGAAATGGACGGTATCCGGTTGTTCAGTGATGACACGACGAATCCTACTTCCGGGTCTAAAGTAGTCTGCGTTTAATATGGCTTTTGTGTTGTTAACATGTTTAATGTTTTGTATTTTCTTCTATTTGATCTCAAAAAGCTCCTAAAACAGTCAGTGATCACTGTTGACCTCCCTCGGCTTTTATTACCGCTAATCATTTATTTAAGCTCAGTTTTTAAAACCTTAGGATGTAACTACAACCCAGCCCATGCAGCAGTATATTAATGACTAACCTCGTATTGTGGATGGATTATCTCAGTTGTTCTCCTGGCTGAAGTTTGGTCCTTTTACAGCATCCTGCCATGCGATTACATTTGTTCCTGACCACCGAGAACACTCACGTTAACTTTTATCGAGTGGAAAAAAAGTTAGCTTGTTTATATTATGCTAACATAGCTGTGTCGCTAGCGGTCACGTAGCACATCATTATATACCAGCTAGCCCAACTTCAGTAACCCTACAAACGTCACTGCTGTTTAGTTTTCTGTCTTCATTTATGCTGGAAGTGATAGCAGAGCTGTACGTTTTAATTTGTTTCCAAAACCCCGCAGTCAGGACATGCTATATTGTATTTAGATAGAAGCTAGCGAGCTAACTCCCTGCTAACTTCTAACTCCGTTAAATGTCATAAATTCTGTTTCATTGATGCCTGGATGTTAAACTCAATTGTTACACCTGGTAGAGCAGAACGCTGATCATTTTATTAAAGATGAAAGACTTTAGACAGTTTTTCAACTCTCAGTAATGCATAGTGATCGTTGATATATGGACTGCAGCGGAGTTTAGACCCAGACACGGCTAGTGACGTCAGACTGAACAACCGGATAGGGCTTTGGAGCGTGATGTCACGTGGAAAGGATTTTGGCCCGATCCGCCATTTTGGGGGTCTAGCGCAAGTGAAAAGGGAGCGAAGGCACACACAACAGCCATGGTTCGTATTTGCTGTGTGGTCGGCTGCAATGTTCGATCGCACGACCAGCAAGAAAATAAGCTTGAAAATGGTTTATCTTTTCATTCTTTCCCAACCTGGAAGCAACATGAGGCAGCTCGTGTATCGATGTTAGCAAACCATGATACTAACCGCGAGACACGTTACATACAGCTTTGTGTGAGAGAAATGAAGGAGAAAATGTTTTGTTAGTCATTCATTTTTGTTCTGACATCACTTTGATTAGTTGAGTATCTGAGGCTGAGACCACAGGACTGTAAAACATGATTGTTGGGCTTCATTTCTGTGCTGAACAGTCATTTAAGATTAGTTAGTAAATAACAATTAGTTAATTAATGTTGTTCATGAGACTATATATATATATATATATACATATATATATATATATATATATATACACACACACATATGAGAGATTACTAAATGGTTCTCATTTCCAGTAAATCCATGTGTGTCAGTGAATGCATCGTTTGTGCTTCAGGCTCCATCTAGTGGACTGATAGCAGAGCAGCTGATGGCAGCTTCCTCTGCCTCACACTGCTGTCTGACTGCATGCAGCTGACACTGAGATGAAGCAGGAAAGCAGCAGCTGATATCTGGACAGCACACATGATGGAAAGCAGGATTACAGTTGATGTGCATGTGAATGATTTGTATTTCCTCTGCAGGTGAAGGTAGAAAGTGTGTGTGAGCTGATATGAATTGAGCAGCATGGATCAGTGTGAGGACAGAGAGGAGGGAGTCCCCTCCCTCTAAAAGCACTCTGTGTGGGGAACATGAGAGCCAGACCAAAGCTCAGAGGTGAGACGACCATCTCTAACTGTCCATGACGATTCTCCATGTCACAGCTCAGCACTCACATCACTGCTCCATCATTATTCACAGGAAGAAACGAGGAACTAAACATAAACATGAACCTGGACCTTATTGAACCCAGATTCTTTTGTCCCCATGATAGAACAGAGAAAACCGACTCATAGTGGTCAAACATTTATAATTGTTTATTTAATTATCTTCCGGAAGAGAGAGCCCTGCACACCCCAAAGGCAGCCGCAGGATCTCTAACATTTGAATCATAAACTGTGTCTCATATAGGTATTATCTCCTGCAAAGAGGTAATGTAAATGTTGTTGTGAATAAATCCTCTATCATGTTTAATGTCAGCTCAGCTGTGTTTCACACACATTTCTATGTTCATATGTGTGTGTTGGAGTGTTTCCACGAACACAGCAGTCAGAGTGTAAAGGGTGGATGTTGTAGGAGGTGTTTCTGTAGTGAAGAGGCTGAGTAGGACACCTGCAGATGCTCCAGCAGGTGTCTCCTTTGTGCTTTGCTTCAAACACAGTGTAGGGAGGAACTTCCACTCAGATGTCTCAGGTGGTGCTGGATAGACGAGGATGAATAGTTTGAGCGTCAGACATTTCCAACTGAAACCAGAAAAAAGATGTTCTGAGTTATTGGGATTTGTGTGAAACTTGTGTGTTTTAGAGCGAGTGGTCAGCTCCAGCCTGTGAGTGGCCTAAGTTTAAGCTCAGCTAATACTTGTGTTTGTCTGCTCTGACAGAGGAGAACTAGCTCATTAGATTCAACGGGAACCTGAGAATATCTCCAAGGAACAGAGTTAACCCATCATCAGATGATTATATTGTAAATGTTGTTATAATGATTTCCTTGGTACCAGATTCCTGATTTAGAAACCTCACGTTAAACATCCTCGGGTATAACTCTTTAACAGCAGTGTTAGGATTAAAGTTACATGTCACACTTATTTCTGCACAATTCTCTTTTAATGATTCTTTGGTTTTTTGGGGTTAGTTCTTATTGTATCAGGTCTTATTGTTGATTCTTTATTATTCAGTTTGTGATGTTATTCCCATCACAGAACAATCCATCCAGGAAAAAAAAAAGTAAAACCTAAATAATCCAGATCAAACAGTTAATCAGCTGTGCAATATACAGTGGAACCCCGACTTAAGAATACCCGTTTCACAAAAAATTCAAGTTACGAAGGCACTGAACCCTCGGGAACTAATTAATTTCGTAAGTCGGGGTTCCACTGTACTACATTTCTTTAGTAAAATTCTTGCAGAAACTTGTAAATGCCAACTAGTCGTAAATTCTCTAATATTTAATAATTTTTTCCCCTCCTTTTGTCTTTTATTATTACCACTGGTAATTTCTGTTATTCTCTCCTTAATATAACTGCACACTCTCTCTCTGCTCATGTAGAGCTGAGGGGCACGAGCCAAAGAATTTCATTATGGATCTGTACATGACAATAAAACTTGAAACTAAATTAGTAAAATGTAGATGTGATAGAGACTGTGACTGTTCACATGATTTCATGTTTAACAGATCAAAGATGGAGAAGGCCTTACCAGTGCAGCTGCTGGAAATGTTGAAGGATTTGGGAGAAGAGGACCTGAAGCTTTTCCACTTTTACCTGAAATATGAACCTGGAGCTGACTTCCCTAAAATCTATAAGTTCCAGCTGGAGAACGCAGACAGACTGAAAACAGTAGACGTGATGGTGCAGGTGTATTCAGACCATGTGATGGAGGTGGCGAGGTCGATTTTAGGGAGGCTGAAAGGAGGTCAGTAAGAGAAAAATGAAACATTAAACACTGCTGACACAATCAGAACCAGAAAGGATTTATTACCTAAAGTTGAGCAGGTTTACAAGATTAGGAAATTGCTGCAGTACTTAGTGCAAAACATGCTGTAAGACAAACACTTAAATAAAATTTAAAAGTGCTGAGATTGATATATACAGTGGAAAGCAAAAGTTTGGGCAACCTTGTTAATAGTCATTATTTTCCTGTATAAATCGTTGGTTGTTACAATAAAAAATGTCAGTTAAATATATCATATAGGAGACACACACAGTGGTATTTGAGAAGTGAAATTAAGTTTATTGGATTTACAAAAAGTGTGCAAGAATTGTTTAAACAAAATCAGGCAGGTGCATAAATTTGGGCACTGTTGTCATTTTATTGATTCCAAAACCTTTAGAACTGATTATTGGAACTGAAATTGGCTCGGTAAGCTCAGTGACCCCTGACCTACATGCACATGTGGATACAATAATGAGAAAGAGTATTTAAGGAGGTCAATTGTAAGTTTCCCTCCTCTTTTAGTTTTCTCTGAAGAGCAGCAACATGGGGGTCTCAAGACAACTCAAATGACCTGAAGACAAAGATTGTTCACCATCATGGTTTAGGGAAGGACACAGAAAGCTGTCTCAGAGATTTAAGCTGTCTGTTTCCACTGTTAGGAACATATTGAGAAAATAGAAGTCCACAGACTCAGTTCAAGTTAAGGCTCGAAGTGTCAGGCCAAGAAAAATCTCGGATAGACAGAAGCGACAAACGGTGAGAACAGTCAGAGTCAACCCACAGACCAGCACCAAAGACCTACAACATCATGTTGCAGCAGAAGGAGTCGCTGTGCATCATTCAACCATTCGGCGCACTTTACACAAGGAGATGATGTATGCGAGAGTGATGCAGGGGAAGCCTTTTCTCCGTCCACAGCACAAACAGAGACACTTGAGGTTTGCTAAAGCACATTTGGACAAGCCAGCTTCATTCTGGAATAAAGTGCTGTGGTGTGATGAAACTACAATTGAGTTATTTGGGCATAACAAGGGGTGTTATGTCATGGAGGAAAAAGAACACAGCAGTCCAAGAAAAACACCTGCCAACTACAGTATAATGTGGTGGTGGTTCCATCATGCTGTGTGGCCAGTGCAGGGACTGGGAATCTTGTCAAAGTTGAAGGACACATGGATACCACTCAGTATCAGCAGATTCTAGAGACCAATGTCCAGGAATCAGTGACAAAGCTGAAGCTGCGCCAGAGATGCATCTTTCAACAAGACAATGACCCCAAAAACTGCTCAAAATCCACTAAGGCATTCATGCAGAAGAACAAGTACGTTCTGGAACGGCCATCTCAGTCCCCAGACCTGAATATTACTGAAAATCTGTGGTGTGAGTTAAAGAGAGCTGTCCATGCTCGGAAGTTATCAAACCTGAATGAACTAGAGATGTTTTGTAAAGAGGAATGGTCCAAAATATCTTCAACCACAATCCAGAATCTCATTGGAACCTACAGGAAGCGTTTAGAGGCTGTAATTTCTGCAAAAGACGGATCTACTAAATATTGATTTCATTTCTTTTTTTGTGGTGCCCAAATTTATGCACCTGCCTGATTTTGTTTAAGCAATTATTGCACACTTTCTGTAAATCCAATAACCTTCATTTCACTTCTCAAATACAGTGGAACCCCAACTTACGAATATCCCATCTAACGAAAAATTCAAGTTAAGAAGGCACTTAACGGCAATATTTCTGCCCGTGTTATGAGCAAATGCCCGCGTAACGAAATCCTCTGGCTCTGATTGGCTGAGCCCAGAATGCCTTCCGAATCATGTGACAACCCCTTTGCTTTTGTACTTGTGCTTTGCTGTTCCACTTTAACCATGTATTGTTGTTGCAGTTAGCAGTTATCCTATAGACCACCGGTGCGCGCACACACACACACTTGCACGCACTAACACATCCTCCAACCACACACACCCATATTTTGCTCAATTGCGGTTTATTTCATACCTCAAACATTTAGTAAACAATTAAGCAAATACAAGTAATCTACAGGTAGTAAGAAAATAAACTACTAACTCTTTTACGCTATGTCCGCACCTACACGGGTATTTTTGAAAACGCAGCTGTTTCGTCCACGTAAACGGTGTTTTGAATCACCAAAAACAAAGATTTTTTAAAACTCATTTTTTGCGTTTATGTGTGGAGGAGGAATACAGAGTTCCTCACACAATGTTAAAGGTACGTGCCTTTTTTCACGTCAGCTGTGCGCCACGTTATTGTTTACATGAGAGGAATTGCAGAATGGCAGATAGTCGGATTAACAGTATTTTGTCTCTATCTTCAGGTTTTACAGGCTTACATATAGACACGCAGTTACTGTCCCTCCATTTACAAAGGCAGAGGCGTCACAGTGTGATTATTTTACATGTAGTTGTTTTTTCATGTGTAATAATATTCAACATTGCTATCAATACATTTTTCAAAAAATGCATCTCTGGGTTTAAAAACATAAACAGCTGTGAGAGACTGTGAGAGACTGTTTGTGATTTGAACCGAGGGAACAAACTGTGGCAGGATCAGCCTGATGTTATTTGTATCCCGCTGTAACTTTACTGTATAAAGAGCTAACATCTCCAAAATGTCAGGAGTAGTTAGTCATTACAAGAAGTGTTTGTGAACTAAAAATCAAGAATGTGGGATTCTGTTTGTCCGTGATTTGAAGAGCCCAGCGCTGCTCCCGATGCAGGGAAAACCAATCCTGCAGGGAGACCTACCTCGGCACTTGTGCAGGTGAAGCCAAAGGGCAGACATGCTTCACCATATTTTCTAGTCTTTGGCTTAGAATGAAGTTGGTTTGGAAACATATTCAGCGATGCTTCATCTCCTGCTTTGCGTTTGTGTGGGAGCCCCATGGTTGTTGTTTATTTCTTTTTTTTTTTTTCCTTTTCATGCCGCGCACACCCTGCAATGGCTCTGCGCCCCCCACTTTGGGAAGGTCTGCTATAGACTATCGTTCATTCAAAGGCGCGATGGGTACTTAATTAGCTTGACAGACTGGTGTTTGGAGGTACAGCAGTTGGTGTACAGGGAGAAGAGCAGAGGACAAAGAGCACAGCCCTGGGGGGAGCCGGTGATGATGGTCCGGGAGTCCAAGACATTCTTCTTCAGTCAGGAAGTCAGTGAAACACCAGCAGATGGGATCAAGTATAATTATCTGGGAAAGTTTTTCTTGGAGATGGTCTGGAAGAATTGTGTTGAAGGCAGAGCTGAAGTCCACAAACAGGATTCTGGCATAGGTTGCTGGGAATTCCAGATGCTGCAGGTTAAGGCGTAGAGCCATCTTGATAGCATCGTCTACAGACCTGTTGGCACTGTATGCAAAAAGCAGGGGGACCGTGAGGGTCTTGACATAGGAGAGGATCAGGCACTCAAATTATTTTATGACCACGGATGTGAGAACCACAGGTCTGTAGTAATTTATTCAAGTAAACCTTGGCTTCTTGGGGACAGGGACTGTGGTGGAGGACTTGAAGCAGGCATATTTGCATTTGCACAGTCTCTGAGAGTGACAGGGGTCAGGAGCTTTCTGAGCATTCAGGCTCTTAAACTACTTCCTCACATCTGCTTCATGAATATGAAGAGTTGTAGTGGGATAATGTGGTGTGAGATCCTCATAGGTGTGGGATGAGAAGGGGGGTGTTGTGGGTGAAGTCTTTGGTTGTAGTGATGGCTCTGTGGTGGGGGAGAGGGGAAGGTGGGGTGATGAGTGTCCAAAGTGTCCCTATTGTTGGGGCTGGTGGGGGTATGAAAGGTGCTTGACGGCTCATCAAAACGACAGTAAAAGTCGTTGAGGGCGTTGTCCAAGAGCAAGTCATCAGTGGAGTGGGGGGTTTTAGGCCACGTCCACTTGTTTTCTCTCTGTTTTGGCCTCACATCCACATTGAGATGTCGTTTTCCCCGAAAGAAAACACAGCTTTTTGAAAATGCTCTCGAAAATGCATTCTTTTAAAACGGAGCTTTCGCATCGCAGTGTGGACAGCGAAAAATTGAGACTTTCTAAAATGATGACGCATGTTAGTCATATGATGCAGTCATGTGACCAATTAAACTAAGATAGCAGAGGGAATTATACAGCATTTGTTTTCTTTGCTGTCAATTTAGACAGCCCTATTAAAGATTAAAATCAGTTTGTACATGCTTCAGATAGCTTTTCTTCACATTTTTTTAACTTTCACTCGTTTTTGCAACTTTGTACTTCTGTGTTTCTCGCAGCAACAACTCCACCTCATTGTTAGTCCATTTAAAAAAAAAACTCGGTGCTTTTCCTTGACATGTTGCCCCGACGTTTCAAAGAGCCAGAAAGTAAATAAGTGCCAGACAGAAATGAGGCAGGTTGAATCTTCTTGCATTTCACGCATGTGCAGTACTGGAACGTAAGCGTTTTCGGCCGTGTCAACGAGGACGCGCAATTCTGTGAAAACAACTGAAAATGACTGTGTGGATGTGGAGCGTTTTCATATCAAAACGTAGTTTTCAAATCTATCCGGGCTAGTGTGGACGTAGCCTTAGGCTTGTAGTTAGTGATATTCCTAAATTATTCCTTTTCCACACAGAGGCTGAGTCGTTATCTGAGATCTGATGTGTCTTTTCAAAATGCTGGTGTTTAGCAGTGTCCACTTCTTTACTGAACCTCTGTAGTAGTCCCTGACTCCGCATCTGAACGCCTTTCACTTTTCTAGCCACAGCTGTTTGATTTTAGGAGTAAACTAGTGTTTGTCATTATTATAACTCACCGTGGTGCATGATGGCACAATGCTATCCTCGCAGAAGTGGAGGTGACAGTGTCTCTAAACTCATCCAAGCTGTTAGAAGCAGCCCTCATTGTGTCCAAAGTCTGTAGTAAATCCATCGCAGATGTGACAAATACTGGGAAAAAAACAAAAGTGTGTTAGTCCTGTAGTTCTCTGGTGTAAGGATATCCAGAAGCATGTCCAGA